GGGCATGCGCAACCAGATTCAATAGAAGCTCCCACACGTTGGATATTGCGTGCCAAGGCAAACACAGGCACGTTAGTCAAAGATCATTAGGGTTGACTATGACCTTGGTGAAGCTCTATGTCTTCATCTAAATTATTCATTATTCAATTAATCATTATTTAGTGTATGTGTAATAGTGAAATGACAACAAAAGAACACAATGGAATTAGGGTCTACTAATTTGTGTTAGGAGTGTATTTCATGGGTTTATGAAAACCTATCTATCACTCTCGGTATATACACTCAATTGAAGAATCGTTGTCGGGTTCAGAAATATAGAACATAAAAGCTGAGACCGAAATGGCACATGGGAAATGACATAATTATATTATAATTTATTCATTTCCGACATCCATACAGTCGGTTTAGAATGCCAAACGCGTATTAAAAACAGTGGATGATGCCACGGGTCGCCGGTCACAGCCATAGTCATCTTCCGTACGGTGAGGTTGGTTCTGGGTTTTATTCAATTCGTTGCGTTGCTAATCGTCAAGTGGTTAAAATAGCACCACTTAAAATGCATGTGTATTTTGTTGAGTTGAACATCTTTTTTAGGTTTTCAAGTAACCAGACGTAACCATGTATTGACTTTGATTCCTTCCAGGTCCCTCATAGTCACTTACCGTACGGTAAGGTTGGTTCTGGGTTTTATTCAACTCGAAGCATTGCTAATCGTCAAGTGGTTAAGACAGCGACCCCTTTGGTTCTGAGAGAACTTGATGCTATGGCCCTAGAAAAACAGTCTGTGGTGACCCTAGTGGATTATGGGACTGCTGATGGTGGAACTTCGACGAGTCTTATCTACGCATGCGTCAAAGCAATACGAGAAAAATACGGAGCTAAACTACCGATAAATGTGATCTACGAGGATCAACCCGTCAATGATTTCACGTCTGTGTTCTTGAGAACACAAGGTAAAAGTATTAAGTCAAAGCATCTGAGCTAAGGCGATCCTACCAAGGTTAAAAGATCAGTTCTTTTTTTGAAATTTGATTTGAAGATTTTTTTGAAGCTTACAGAATGCAGAACTTGTAAAATTCAAATTAGGCCTCCATTTAAATTTCGATGTGATTGGATTATAACTTCTGCCATACTATCATTAACGAAACTTGGTAACATGGGTGGAACTTGTTGTGTCAATTATATGACCGTCAATTGACGAGTGCATTTATATCTCAATATTATAATATATATACACCTGATCCAATATGTGCTCGGGGTTCTTCTATCCAAGGTTTGATTCCTGGTCCTCGCAGTTATCTCCTTGACTTCCCCAACGTGTTCGTCATGGCCAGCGGTACAAATTTCTACGATCAGTGTTTCCCAAATGACAGCGTGACATTAGGGTTCTCTTCTAATTGTGCACATTGGTTGCGTGACAAGCCTTGTGACATGACTGGAACTACATTTCACCTATTCATTACTGTACCAGAGGAAAAAGAGAAGTTTGTAGCACAAGCCGAAAAAGACTGGGAATTATATCTAACGAAAAGAGCTGCCGAGCTTAGACCAGGTAAGACGGGCGTCTGTTAACTCAGGTCGCTATATGTCCGACTCAAAACCATCCCAGTAACATTTATAAATAATACATTGGTATAACTGCAGAACGCGTACACAAACGAGGAATAGCAGCAAGAACACACATGCAAAAATCATTAGTGAGGTTACGACTTAAAATGCTCTCTATATAGAGTGCTTTTAGTCTCACTGTTGAATAGGTGACGTCAACTAAATTAGATAAGTTATTTACTATTTTAGCGGACGTCACCTAAATTTGAAACCACGAGTAAACAGCTACTGAGATCAGGGGGAGAAACGATCATACAAATGAATGTCTATTCACTCATTCTCTGGTAAAACAACCCCCCGGATTAGCATGACCGTTTTTTGGCGCGCTTTTTACTATTTTAGGTTACGTCAACTAAATAGTTATCTAAGTTAGATAAATTTATTTAACTATTCAACAGTGAGACTAAAAGCACTCTACTTTATACGATATACAAATCCCGCATACATTCCTTTCTTAAGCTACAAAAGGACCTTGTTTGGGCTTCCTGTGTTTATAAAAGCTGTTATAGTTTTTTTCTAAAAATAACTGTCCATGCAGGATATTGCTGGAATAGTAATGGGATCAATATTAATAGTGTCTGATATTTGGCCTTAAAGGAGGCAGTATGGCCCTGGCGGAGTTAGCTGTGGATCAGAATGATCAGTTTGCAGGACACACGAAAGATGCCAAACATTGTTGTCACACAGTTCTATCAACACTTTGGAAATCACTTTCAGATGAGGGAATTATCACTAAGGTGAGTATGATGGAAGGTCTTCGGGACTTCAGAAGAAGTCTTACATTTCATTAATTGTTCGAGTGGTTGGTTGGTTGGGTTGGTTGGTTGTAACCATATCAAATTCCTCGTAAATTTTTCACACTTTTGAAGGCTTTAAATATGGTTGTTTTTACGAAACGCATTCAAATTTCACATAACTACTAATATTGAGATACTTTTATCAGATGACAAAACTCTTTTGCTAATTAGATTAAAATTAAAATTAAATTAGGCCCAGTCTCTTGCGGGTTTCTAAAGTGGCCTATTAAATAATCGTTTCCAAACTCTTTCGTTCTTACAGGACGAGGTTGCCAAAACCAATTTCATCTTGTACTTCAGAAGGGTAGATGAGTTCAAGAAGCCATTCAAGTGTCCTGACTCGCCTGTTGTCAAAGCAGGTCTAGAGTTGGTTTCCATAGAAACAAAAATCGTACCTTGTGCATATAAGGAAAAATGGATCAAAGAAAAGGGAGATGCCAAAGAACATGCAAAGAAATACGTAGAAAGTATTCGAGCGTGGAGCAACAGCACATTTCTTTCAGGTAATTGATTGTGCATTCACTCAGTCGGTCGGTCGATTGATCATTCAGTCCGTCAGCCACTGAGTCGGTGCAGTCCGATCAACCATCCAGTCAGTTAGCAAGCCCGAGTCCATCGGTCGGTCGTTCAGTCAGTCAGTTTGCCTTTAACGACCTCTCTTACTTTCCTTTTAACTATTTTTCCCCTACTGTGTCTTCCAGGATTATCGGATTCTCGTTCTGCCGAAGAGAAATCTAAAATCGTCGATGAATTGTACCACCGTTACGAAGCTGAGGTGGCCAAGTGCCCTGAGGATTATGGGTCTGCATATGTTAACGCCTATTTGGTTATAAGAAAGCGTTTACGTACAGAATCTACCGGTAGCCAATAACATGCGACTGGTTTAATTATTGCACTGAAACAAGAAACAACCATCGAAGATGACTTGAAGCGAAGAGAAATAACCACTCAACCCCGATGTTAGATTCATTTATTTTTTTTACTAGCTTTTTATTTATTTATTTATTTTTTAAATTAAAGATCTTTATCGAATTTTGAGGACAATTGCAAAACGTTGTCGTTTGATGGGCTTCATCCATACGCTCCTAGACCGAAAAGGATCATGGGGATAATTAATTCACAGTTACTAGCTGCCGCGTATGTTATCTAACACGTCTTGAGCAAGTTATACTGGACTGGAAATACTAAGTTAATTTTTGGCTCTTATCCTCAAAGTAACCTATTTCGAAGCTACTATCTGTAGCGCGCTCTTTCCGTTGGTCGTTTTGATCGCTAAAAATGAGAAGTTTTTATCGTTTTTGTTATTGTAAAAAACAAATAGACATCTTTTTTATACATTTTGCCACGACATCGTCAAAGTAGTATCCACACTACTTTCAATGTAATGACGCAACTTTATCGTCAATTAGAGCTGAGGACAGACACATGAAAAACTGAGGTCTATTTGTTAAACATCTCAAATAAAGAATCTTACTCTCAAGCTGCTAACGAACACAAGCTGCTAAGTTGTTTATCATTTTCTGTTCGCTTATTATATGTGAGCTATATTTTTCCAAATAGTCATAACCCATAATTCTGCCTCTGAACCAAAAGAACCTTCGAAGTATTCCTTCATATCAAATTACTGTAAAATAATTTCAATTTTTTTTTTCATAGCCAAGTTTTTTTTTTCATAAGATATTGCCCAAAAATGCCGCCTCATTTTCGAATGTGAGCACGCGCAGTCTCGTTCCCAGAGCTCCCCGGTCTCGATACTACTGGAGGAACACGCGATACTTTCGGACAGCGATCTTGCGCATCTCTGAAAATATCTACATAAGCACCATCTGACTTCAAACCTTCCATTTACATGTAATACCCGTGTTTTGCTGTTTTATGAGGACTGGAACTGAAAATGGAAGAAAAAAATGCATTYGTAAGTATGACATATACTGAATATAGGGTTGAATTCAGACGATGACTTCTAAAAACCTTGAATACTCTCTAAACTAACCCTGCACGGCTTTAAGTCTGGTCTTCACTAGCCATGACATAAGCACAAGCAGAAGCATAAGAGTGTACGTCCTCACTGAGAAATTCAGTGACATAAGCATAAACACAAGCATAAGAAGAACGAAACGTTTTGATCCTTATGCTTAATATGTTATTCTAGTATGCTAATATCGCTAGTGAGGACCAGACTTAAGAGATAGTTCGTCGAGGAATTCACGTGACGTTATCAAGCAACTAAAATCTAAAGACTATATATTCTCTATACAAAACTGTTTATCCAATATATTCAGTTGACTCCATTGTAAGCTTTAGAGGTTTTAGGATGCAGTCCCTTGAATTTAGAACACGTTTTCGCCGTTGTTGTTTTGTTTTCAAAGCACTAAATGGCCTTATTGACTTTCGTTTCAATAATTCTCGCTCTAGTGAGCTACATAACTATAATACTAGAAGTAGTCTTTTTAGGCGTCTGCCTAAATGCAGAACCAATTGGGGGCAAAACGCATCAAGCTATTTATTTATTAAGGAATGGAACTCATTATCAGATAGCGTCACATGTGCTGACAATTATGACATTTTTAAGAATCGTTATTTTGATAATTGTAAATAATTTTAATTAACGCAGATTTTATGAATGTCATAATTTTAGTGATATTTGATTCAGTATTAATACTAGTTATTTCTTTTTATCTTAATTTGTTTTTAGTATTTGTAATTAAGTATATTTCGAGGTCCTTCATGAAAATCACTTTTGGTGATGTTGTTACCTCACGAAATAATCATCTTATCTTATCTTAATTGTAAGTAAAGTCTTACCAAAATAATTTTGTATTATCGATATTTGGTTTTAATAGATTTATTCTAAATGCGAGTCACGTTAATTCTGTCACGCATTTTCAAAGCGTAGAAATAGGGAAATTCGTTTAAAATAATACTTCTTTAACTTCGTAGATGATGGAAAACTGTATTTTGATCTCAACTTTTACTGAAGAAGGATTGAAGTATTTTCAATATAGACATATTTTTTTCAACCAAATTTCAACTAAATTATGAACCATAATTAATCGCTCGTATCTTCGTATCTAAAACTTCTTTTAACTAGAATTTCGGCTGAGTTATATAGTTTTACTTTCTCTTTTGGCCTGTGGAAGTTTGTTTCTATCGATAAGATCATGGGGGAAATTTTCAATAACGTTGGTGAAAGCCTAGCCTCCTACGCAGACGTTCTTGAGTGTCTGTTAAATATAATGTTTCCCTCCCGATGAACAGTGAAAGCCCAGAATAGGTTAGCAAGATCAAGAAACAAAATCCAACCCATCAGGAAATCAGGCGGTGTTTTGAAACAGTTGAAAGTGTTTTACATGTTTTTGCCTTGAGCGCAATTCCAAAGGTAAAAAAAAAAAAAAAAGCGAAAAACCTTTAAAAAAACTGTATCTAACTGAGCAATTTGACTGTACCTCATGCCACCTGACCTTTCTGAGGGTGACGCCACGCTCTCTCCTCTCTGGAGCAGGGTATCTATTTTCGCAATACCGGAAAAGGGG